AAAACGATTTAATGTTATAATATTTCTGTTTTTTTGTTGTTGTTGTTGTTACCACTGTGTTTAGAAAGCAGCCATAAATCCCATGTAATTTAAGACACTACAGTACATTTACATCACCAATGTTTTTAGTTTTTCTTAATTAATTAGGTTTTTTAAAAAAAAATTCTCCGTATACGTAGGGGTGATATTAGTATCCCAGCCTGTAAATTACCAAGCAAAAAACTGCTTTTAAATCAATAAAAGTACTTTTGAGCCTCACGAAAAATATTATTTTTTTGTTATTTCCTCGTTCGTGCCCCCCAGTGGCACTGCGGTATGTCTGCAAACTTACAACGCTATAATCCGGGTTTCGATACTCGTGGTGGGCAGAGCACAGATAGCCCATTGTGTTGCTTTGTGGTTAACTTCAAACAATCCTTGTTCGTACAAGACTTTAAAAAAAGGCCCCTTTAGTGGCTCACTGGTAAGCTAGAAAGCGTATATGCTAAAACCAGGGTTTTAATACCTATGGTGGGCAAAAAGTAGATAGCTCATTGTCTAGTTTTGCGCTTAAACATAAAATATATTAATACCCCATCCCCCAACAAAAAATGCGTTGTTTTCTATATAATACAGATGTTATCTCAGAATCGATAGTTTTGATGCTTAGGAAACTCGTTAAGATCATAACAGTTAGTGAGCCAAGCGTGACCTAATGGTTAGAGTGCCGACTGGGAACATGGAGGCTTAACGATTTCAGTCCCATTGCCACAGAAACATGCTCCACACTCTGGGTCTGTGAGTGTGCTACAAAGTTGACATTCAAATCCCACTTTTTCAATTAGAATAATCCAAAAGTTCGCGGTTTGTACTGCTGAGTAACTGCATTATATAAAGGCTATTAATTTAAAATTAGGGAAGGGCTATGCCCAGATATCCCACGTGTGGCTTTGTTCAAACTTCTGAAACAAACAGACACGTAAATAAATAAGTAAAATTATTTAGTGGAAATTAACTTTAGGTTATCAGAAAACCTTACAGTAGGCTTAACTGATTACTTATGTATTTTCGTCAAAAACGCTAAAATCAGTGAAGAAAAGGCCTAACACATTCTTTGGTTCACTACTTCCGTTGTTGCAGAGCAGTTTCGCTGAATTCACAGCTTATCAGCGCTGCAGCGAATCAAAAAATAGATTAGGCCTGCACGTCATCGTTTCTTGTCTGAAGTTCACGTTTTGGTGATGAAAATAAATTCACAAATAAATAACTAACCAATTAGTCCGCTGAATGATAACGGATAAGTAATTGTGACGATATGCTACATGTTATCCAAATACATAAATTATTTTAAATTATTAACGATGAGTAAAAGACTACATCTAAAACAAACAAACTGCTTGCATTTACACCACTAAATGAGGCTTACTTTGTGCGATCAGTTCGTACTTCTTCTGGCCGAAGAGAGGGCGCAACCCTCCCTGGCCTGCCAGTTTCTTTGCTAGGACTGAATGGAATGAAATTCCGTTTTAAAACAAATATGTGCTTCGCTTTTCAAAGCAGCACTGGAGAATGGTAAATTCGGCGAAACTAGTCTACTGCAGCGGAAGTAGTGAATCACAGAAAAAGATAAGTTTCTAGGTCACAACAATTCATGTTTAGATGAAGAAAAGGAATTCATAAATAAAGAAAGTCTTACAATCAAACTGCCGTGACGTATTTACACTGTCGTAGAAAGTGGAAACAACACAAACAAACCCTAAACTTCAGTCTCAACTTGTGAGAGAGAAAACTGTCGAGGTGCGGCTTTCAGTTGAAAGTCCCAATTGCTTTAAATGGTTTGAAATAACACCCGTAAAACTTTTTGTTAAGAAATCTGATATACTTAATGGACAACTTACCATGAAAGAAATTTGAAGCTATGGAATGATAATCGTGTTAAAATGAAAATATCACGTTGTATGATTGTCTTAGATTATAAATTTTAGGATCTAAGGAGGTTAATAATGATCTACAAGTGTTTCTGTAATCATTTCGAAACGAAACAGTGTCCTTATGTGTACGATTGTGATTATTAAGATAAACTTCAAACTTATGGTGAATTGAGTGATTCGTAAATCTATGGTAAACTGAGTGACTCATAAATCTATAGGGAATTGAGTAACTCATAAAACTATAGTAGATTGAGTGACTCATAAATCTATGGTGAACTGAGTGGCTCATAAAATTATAGTAAATTGAGTAACCCATAAAACTATGGTAAATTGAATAGCTCATAAATCTATAGTGAATTAAGTGACTGATAAAACTATAATAAATTGAATGGCTCATAAAATCTATAGTGAATTAAGTGACTCATAAAACTATAATAAATTGAATGGCTCATAAAATCTATAGTGAATTAAGTGACTCATAAAACTATGGTAAATTGAATGGCTCATAAAATTCTATAGTGAATTAAGTGACTCATAAAACTATAGTAAATTGAATGGCTCATAAAATTGAATAGTGAGTTGAATGACTCATAAATCTATAGTGAGTTGAATGACTCATAAAACTATGGTAAACTGAATGGCTCATAACATGCTGTCCTTTTTAAGACTCCAGTTATCATATTGCTTACTGTGACATAGTATATTAGCTTAGGTCATAATATCACAGATGACATATGACCATCAAAAGTTTAACAAGAGAGAACAAAAATACCTAACACAGCTCTGCTTAACTAATGGAACTGATTAGCAATTTAGTATATAATATAAGTAGTAGTAGTGGTAAATGGTTGACAAGTAACAGTTTTTGTTTTTAGGAACATTATGTTTAATTTTTTCAAATCGTAAAATGGGGGCCAGTGGAAGTTTTTTGAAAAGTTTAAATTGTTAAATAATTGCCCATAACATCAATAAACTTGTGAAACGGTCAAGATAAATGATCTGAGAAAAAAAAATTACTTTCGAGCTAAAGTAACTAATAAGTTATAAACGAGCTCGTGAGGACCACCAGGAGTGTTTGTCTAAGGCTAAAGTTTAGAGAAACGTTAAAATGTTAGACACGAAACTGGTAGAATGAAATAAGAAAAGAAATAATGATTATATTTCAATCTATGTCTGGCAAAGTTACGTGTATATTTTGAGGAAACTAATATACACAATATATACATGACTTTAATGGTAGACACTAAAGTATACAATAAGTTTAATTTCAAGTTATCGTAGGCCTAACTAGTAACTGTACCTTAAGCCTAACTAGCAACTGCGTCGAATCGTGCTTTCAGGCAAAAATGTTTCGATAAGTAATACTAAAACAAGGATGAAATCAAATTATGTCTCATAATAAAATCAGTGATTCGTTCTGCAGAACTGTCTGTAGTTGTGCTTAATAATAACAGATAGGGATGTTTTGTCCTGTACGAAAGAAAAGTTATTTTAATTGGAACGAAAATAAGACATAGCTATTTCATTGCTGTTCATTCGACAGATATATTTCTCCACTCACTTTCATTTCATCAGCGGTTGTTGTTTTTATTTCTGGACTAATGTGTAGGTTTAAACTAATTTAGTTATTTTCAAGTCACTTCATTTACTCAGAAGGTTTCGCACAGAAGGAAAATGCAACGTGCGACTTTTTTCAATAGTTTATACTACTTTTTAGATGATGCTATAGTTAGTTAACGAAGTTCTAGTTTCAAATCACATTCGTGTTGAAAAATAAATGTATATAGTGTGTGTTTCATGGCCTTTTTGTTCCCAAATGTTGATGTACAATCTCTGTAGACGTTTTCAAGTATGCAGGCTGTATTCATATGTTTATATGCAAGATATTCGAAAATGCTTTTAGGATTAGGCTTGACGTTGATTATGTTTAATTAACTCTAAGATGTCAGTAATGCTTTTAGGATTAGGGTTGACTTTGATGATTTTTAACTAACTGTAAGATGTCAGTAATGCTTTTAAGATTAGGCTTGACGTTGATTATGTTTAATAAACTCTAAGATGTCAGTGATGCTTTTAGGATTAGGCTTGACGTTGATGACGTTTAATTAACTGTAATATGCAGTAATGCTTTTAGGATTAGGCTTGACGTTGATGATTTTTAACTAACTGTAAAATGTCAGTAATACTTTTAGGATTAGGCTTGACGTTGATGATGTTTAACTAATTGTAAAATGTCATTAATGTTTTTAGGAAAATCTTAGTGATAAGACTTTCAGCTAAGGAAATACGTTTAAATTTAAAATGTCAAAATGCTTTTAGTATGTTCCTCCAGTGACACAGCGGTAAATATTTAGGATTATGACGGTAAAAACCGGATTTTGATACCATGGTGGGCAATGCACAGATAGCCCATTGTGTAGCTTTGCGCTTAACGAAAACAAACAAAAGTTTTTAGGAATAGGCTTAGCCTAACGACTGCCCTAAGCTTAATATAGTTTTTCAATTTTTAGGATTATATAATTTGAAACATTCTTCAAGTCAAGTTAGTTAGGATAATTAAAAGAAAGGATACATTTTGGATTGCTTAAATGCTCAAAAAATACGTAACTGAAAACTATCGTTTTTCTCGTAATAATATATACAGCGTTTTCCAAGGAAACAAATAAAATATATATAATTAAACTCTTTCGATAATTGACTCATTAAAACAAAGTATTATTTGAGATGCAACTATATAGAGTCACTAGACGAATGTGATTTTGATAACTGAAAAATATAAGTTTTATATAAGTTGGTTGTTCTGTTACGTCATTGATTCATTTCCAAACAAAACGTTTCCTTGCTTTTATTAACATTAGTTGTCAGTTTTAAGTTCGGAACAAGTTTTTTCCCCCTTTTCTTTCATTATATTTACATAAGAAAGAAATCAATCACTGGTTCGAGGCATAAAGAATAAAAATGCTTATTGATTTTTAAAATGATATTAATTATATTTAGAGAGCAATCGGAGCCGTCATTTAATTAAAGAACTGCCATAAATAAAACAGTTTTTAATTTATTACTGAAAATATTTTTGAATTATCTCTACAGATAACTCCCGAACGTTACTAAATGGGCCCGTTGAAGACCAGGAGAAGACTCATGACAATCAATTAGCCACTAAAAGAAGTTTGGAAGATACAGAAAATTCTGAAATAAAGAGTTCCTCGGGAAGATCCAAAGATTGTAAGGTAGATCCCAAAACCGTTCGCGCATACAAATGTCAGCATTGCAAGTATTCTACCGACAAAAAAGGTGGTTTAGCACGACACATGCGCATGCACAGTTTACTCCCACAATCCTTTCCTTCTACGTCAAGAAATTCAATTAGAAATGAGGAGCTTCTGTTGTCGTCTCCACCAATCGCTAGATATTGCTCCGAATGTGAGATACAGTTCTCCTCTTTCAGGACGTTCTTGGTTCACAAGCTTCATTATTGTAACACAAGACAAGTTCAGAAGGCTTTGGTGTCCCCTAGTTCAACTTCTAGTCCATCAACTCCCATCTCTTCATTGTGTCCTAATAAACAAGAAAATGTCGGCTCTTTATCTTTAGAACCTCCTACTCCGTGTTCTAGTACGTCAACTCAAGATGGAATGCTTAATCAGCCATTTTACGCTGCTATTTCCACAAATCCTTTAATTTTAGTTCCTTACACCTATGTATCTGAAGCTGGACTAATTCCAACTGCAAGAATAGTTTCAGAAAGTGATGTTATTTTTCCAAGTGAGATGACTGTAGATCGAATTTCGCCTACTGAGAACGTCTTAAACTCTACACTCCCTTCTGCAGAAGATAACTTCTCAGAAGGCATGAAAACTAATTCTGCTCTAGAAAAGACTAAGAGCGCTTCACTGTCTCCCAGTCGCAATGACACAGAAGACGACTCCACTATCGACAGTTCTTTGAATGGTGAACACGAAGAACAACCCTTGGATCTGACTGTAAAGAATACGAAGAAAAAAATGTGGGTTTCTAACGCTAAAGATCCAAACACTCTGTCTCTTTCTGAACCAGCTCAACCAGTTACCGATGATGTAACTTTAGTTCCTCTAGAAGCATCAGGACCTACAATCCAAACACCTATAGACATTGCTAACAGTTCTCCCTCTAGTGGTCAATCACTTTTAGCTTTACCTTCTCTTTGTGATGTAACCTTACCACATAAATCAATGTTACCAAATGAAGTCGCACTGACAGCAGTCCCGCCCAATCTAGTCAAGATGAGAACCAATGAGTGTAGAGAGTGTAATATCGTGTTTTATAAATATGAAAATTATATCGCACACAAACAGCATTATTGTGCAACAAGACAGCAGAAACTTTATATGAACCAAAGCATTGCACCGTTTAGAAAAGATACTAGTGCGACGCCTCTTTCTGAAAACGATAAGGCATTATCTAAGACTCCATCTTTATTACCCACTTCAGTTCTTCCGACTCTACCTTCTATTCCCAGCAATGTCACTGACATTGGTTGTGTTTCTACTTCATCGCCCACTTTTACACAGTCCACTTATCAGTTTTTTTGCCTCCCCTGTGGCATAAAATTTACCTCGCTGAATAATCTACAAGCTCACCAGACTTATTATTGCCCCAAACGAGACTACTGTATTCAAAGTCAAGAGATACCAGTAGGGCCCGTTGCCATGGCTCTGGAATTCAAGTGCCCGAAATGTAAGACCTCATTTCCGAATGAAAGCTCTCTAAAAAACCATTCCTGTGTGGCCCAAAGAAAATGCCCGTATTGTAACGTATTTTGCCCTACCCTGAGCGCTGCTCAACGACATTTAGTAACTCACACTGGAGTGAGAGCTTTTCGGTGTACTGTATGTGGCTACAAAGGGCATACCTTACGTGGGATGAGGACACACATTCGGATTCATCTGGATAAGGGGAATCCAACCCCGGAAGAAGCATTTATTGTCTGTATTGGAGAAGATGGGACGACCGTTAGTCCAGAGTTGGCTGGGAAAGTCACAAAATCTACTACAGCAAGATTGCAAAGCCCTTCCCCTTCGACAAGTGCCCGAGTGTCGCCTGTTTATAGTGTCTCGTCCCCAAACAATAGGTCCACAGGTCACTTAAAAAATGAAGGGTCATCCCCGGAAATAAGTCGTCTGAGTGGACTAGATGGTGTAGTATTTAATGATCAACTCCACTGGTGTAGTCTATGTGGGTACTCTTCTTCCTATAAAGGGAATGTTGTTCGTCACGTTAAGCTTGTCCATCGAGAGATAGTGGGACTTCAGTTAGCAAACAGTGTGGTCGTCAGCAGCTCGGTCCTGTCGGATGACAGTCTTAAGCAGTTTTTGACAATCGGGTCGTCAACAATACCGATAGATCGGTCAAAACACGAAGAAGGTTCTAATGAACTAAGTCTCCTCGACAAACCTTTACCTTTAGAAAGTTCGGTAACAGTAAAACACGAATCACATGTAAGCGGCAGTGAAATTAGTGATAGAGAAGAAACCAAAGAGGACGACAAAGAACTGGAAGGTCAAACTTCGTCGAAACTAAAAAAGTGTTCGTCAAGTGAGCTAATAAAAAAAGTGGGTCCCAAGTATTGTAGGTCTTGTGACATATCATTTAATTACTTACCAAGTTTCATCGCTCACAAAAAGTACTACTGTTTCTCCCATGTTAGGGAAAACATTTCACAGCAGTCATGATATCCAGCGCAGTATGTTGTTTTTTTTTTTCTTTCTCCTACACGTGTCTTTATGTTGATTTACGTTTCAAAATAACTTAAATAAATAATTTAGGAAACTAAAGGAATATGCGAAGGAGATTATTGTTGATGGTTTGTAGTTTTTATTATTTTTGTATTTTGTTGTACAGTAAGCTGTTTGTGACGACGTGCCTTTGTACGAGATTGTGATATCAAAATGGTTGACGAGCGAGAGTCATTGTACGTATTAAACTTATATTTATCATTTGACAGTTTGGAACATTATCGTAAATTTGAAAAAAAAAACAAAAAAACTTTTAATTCCATGGATGGATCTTAGAGATATTTCCTTTTTATGGTAAATAACGTATTATCAGGTGTTTCTTTTCAACATAATTTAGTGTCATCATGGCGAATTGAAAGGACACTTTTATGGAAGAAGGAATAGTGGTTTTGAACATCTGTCTCCTTTCCATGCTAACGATCTGTGGAATAACTACTAATGCAAGTGCAAATTAGGTAGATATACGGTTCAATGTGAAATGCTAGTCAGTCAGAAATCTGGAATCTTGATACTAAAATATACACACACACACAGAGACTCTAAACTCAGCCTTTCATTTGTGTAGCTGGAAGAATAACTTCTGTGTGTTATGCATTACGCCAAAAACTAGTTCTACATACTTAAGTAGAACTGCGCATGTCCTCGAGAAAATCAAAACAAAAGTCAGCTTCAGGATCTTAAATATCATATACTGTTTGTTTCTGTAATAAAAGTTTTATGGATTTAGGTTATTAAAGCCATCTATTATTTCGTTATTTCTAGTATATTATCTTATAGCGTCGAAAATATTTCATAAAATTTTAAATGTATGGTAATAACTAATATATATATAGGTTTTTTTACGAAGATTATCTTATTTTGAAATATGCTGCCTGAATATTATTAGACTCTAACAAAACGATCTTTTCTTGATTAAAACGTTCATTTAAACTGAACAGCGTAGCTACTCAGAATTTATTAGAACAACAAATAATCCAACATGTCCGACAACTCCCTGAAAATACATGTAGAAAGTGCATACCAGGTATTAAACTTTTTCTAATAACTTGTGTGTAAATTTAAAATAATTAAAAAAAAAAGAAAGCTGACTAGAGATTAACAAGGAATTCCAATGAGTAGTTCAGCCGATAATTGTAGTTGAGTCATTTTTTTTATATTTCTCTGGGGAACAGCTTTAAATCATTATAAATGAGAACTTTTATTCTAGCAGGTAACAATACAAGTCATCCAAGGTTTCGTGGTCACTCCCTCCAGGCTCTATGTGCTCTGAAGATGAGTGATTGTTTCTAGTTAACTTTTTCTTTTGTTGTCGTTGAAGCAAAAACTATAGCGGCTTTCTTCTCTGCAGTCAGACAACCAGATTTGTAATTGTAGACAGTTTAACGTCATTAACCCTTGTCCTCCATCATTTACTTAAAATATCGCAAAAATTACTTTTTTTCAAATACTATTTTAAGAATCTAATATACTTTATGATAATAAAAACAACAACTATTATGAGATTAACCCTTATGGATATTGTGTGTTATACTGTTTTGTACGTTTAATCGAACTAATGAAATTCTGTAAAGAGCAACTTTGACTAGGATGAAAAGAACTCTAAAATATTATAATAATATAAACTTTAGGTCGTGTGTTACTACCGCAAGTTAATATCGGCTTAAAGATTTTCAAATAAGTTAATGAAACATTTACTTTACAAAGTGCAACTAGTGTAAATCAAACCATTGCACATAAAACTTACAAATTATTCAATTAGTTTCTTTGAACCCTGCATGTCACTGTCTAAAAAAAGCAAGTTTCTGAGATGGCGGGAAACGTAGTTAAACAAAATGGCCGTTTCTGCCATGAGAAATTATAACTTTCAACCGCAAATACAACGGCTTAGTGCTGTCGAATATATATATATATATATATAATGTTGTAATGACTGTTATTTATTAGTAAAATTTGTTTAGTTTTTAGTCTATTGTTTTTCTTCCTTCTTTTTCTTTTCTTCTCTTTTTCTTTTTGTTAAACGTTTCTCCACTGATCTTTATTCCAAATTAAACGGATACGACAAATCCACTGGATCACAATTCCCGATAACAAAATCCACTGATCTTTATTCCAAATTAAACGGATACGACAAATCCACTGGATCACAATTCCCGATAACAAAATCCTTTATATGTATTGTTCGTTATGCTATTTAAAATCCTTTTGAATTTGGTGCGTTTTTTTTTTTTATTTACGACAAGCGTTTGAAATGTGTAAATAAGTTAACATTAAAGCTTTCATCTTTAAGTTACAAAACTAGATGTAATATTTATGTTACTATTTCATTTCAATTTGGACAAAGATAACTAATCATCGTATACGAAGCTGGTCAAATCGGGTTTTTCCTTTATCTTAAGACCGCTAATATTGTAATACACAAGTCTTCCATAGTGACAGAAACCAATCGAATCTTCTTCTTCTTAATAGATCAAGAACGTCTTTTACTTTTAAAATTTGAAAAATAGTATTATCATCATTACTGGTAAGGTTGTTGTTTTTTATATTTCCACTAGGGAACTGGTATGTTATAACCTAATAAAAAGCAGGGAAAACCAATATGAATTGGTCTTTTTCTATGAAAATTCTTTTAGTTACGCTTGAAAACTGAAGCTTGTCGTGGCTCGGTTACAAAATTTAATGTACTAAAATTTGACGAATAAGTTAATAACACGAGACTTTCAGTTTACGGTGATTAAAAAGGTAAGTGTTAATACTACGCCCTTCATGAATGATATCTTTGGAAATGTTTACTCAGTTTCAGCTCTCATGATAATTTAGATCTGAATTTATATCTTTATTACTGTAAGATTCCTGAACTCGTTTATGTGGTGGTGTTTTTGCCCTTGTAATTTATTTAGCCTCAGAAATTATTATTATTTTTTACCATGGGTTCTGTAATTGAACAAGAGATGGCGCTAAATTGTGTGTATAGACATCGTGACTATTTGATATATGGATACTGATTAAGTAATCTTGTATATAATAATATATAATGTTTAGTTCAAATATGTGAAATTTGCAAAATGGGCAGAACGTCATTGAATCCTACCGTACATAGCTGGTTTGTACAATGTGACTTTAACATATTGTGTCGTACTTGTGAAATAAATTGGCTTGGACTTTTTCCACAGATTACTGTAGTGTGTGCAGTGTTTTAGTGGGAGTTTGTATAAATGATACACTTACGAATGGTTCTGAAGTAAATAATCACTAACTCTTTATAACTTTCTTACACGTATTCACGAATTAAATTATTTATTTTGAGCTATCTGTTGTGTTCACCTCAGGGAATCGCACGCCGGATTGTAGCGTCTAAAGTCCCGTAAACATACCGCTGTCCCAACGAGGGATCACGAAATAAATATCGCAAGACCAAACCAAAATGAAATAAAATATTCATTAAAAACACGAAATACGTAGTCATTATTTCCATCTGCGATACATACTTTTCCAGAACTTTCTGCAATACTTATGTATACGCGTGTGTGTGTGTATTTTATTTCAAAATTCCTGTATGCACTTTTCAAAGCGGTTAAAAATAAATCATATCGATTTTTTTTTGGGTTTAACTCAGTGGTAAATCTGAAGAATTACAACGCTGAAAAAACGGGATTCGATACCCGCGGTAGGCAAGCACAGACAGCCCGTTGTTTAGCCTTACGCCTAACAACGAAACAAATACAAAAGAATATTTAACAGATATTTACAAACCTTGGATATTTTTTGTCGGATTAGACTTTTAAAACTAAGAGTAACTTTTGTGTCACAATGGTAACATCCAGTTTTATTTGCTAAAACTACAAGAACACTGTCACTTGCTAAGTTTTGAACACCAAATATTAAAATGTCTTTTGTGTTTGTACCGAGTTTATTTATTTTCAAAGCAAGTTTTTACAAATTCATCAAACAGACGTTTACTAAGTAATTCATATAGCTAGTTTTAATTACTTCTGCGTAAAAAAAAAAAAAGCGTACTAAAGTTACCCACTACTAAACTATTAATTGAGGGAACTATTATTATATATCTCGTTAACAGTGCCACTTAATACTGAAATCTTTATTTTATAAGATCAATAGAAACGTGTCGTCATTAATTGGTCAGCAGATGTTTGAACACTTTCACTTACACAGGATAGAAACTGAGTTAATAAAACTTTCTTTTATGTTATGTTCATACAAAGAAAATTAGAATTAATAAGCATACTACTGTTCCCTTCACCGTCTCATTTTCGAAAGAACCCATTATACTTTGATCTGTAAACCAGGTGTTTGTTTGTTTATCTTAGAATTTTCGTAGACAAGAATATCTGCCCACAGTCGTCCCTAGTTTTGAAATGATAGACCTGAGAGAAGATAGCTAGTCAATAAATATTACCCACCACCAACTCTAAGGCTGCTCCTGCCTGATCAAGTGATGCAATATTACCGTCATTTCTATAGGGTACCCACTATCCCAGAGTGCGGAGCGCGTTTTTAGGGCAACGAGACTCGAAGCATTAAAAATCATGTGAATCACCTCAATAATAACTTAGTTAACCTTAGTCAGGCCCGGCATGGCCAGGTGGTTAGGGCGCTCGACTCGCAATCTGAGAGTCGCGGGTTCGAATCCCCGTCCCACGAAACATGCTCGCCCTTTCAGCCGTGGGGACGTTATAATGTGACGGTCAATCCTACTATTCGTTGGTAAAAGAGTCGCCCAAGAGTTGGCGGTGGGTGGTGATGACTAGCTGCCTTCCGTCTAGTCTTACACTGCTAAATTAGGGACGGCTAACGCAGATAGCCCTCGTGTAGCTTTGCGCGAATTCAAAAACAAACAAACAAACCGTAGTCAGTGCGTCGTGAAATCACGACAGGGAGCTTATGTTTATTTCGATAAGATTATTAACCTCGTAATTGCACAAATAAAACATATATTTCTTTTCTAAACGCACTTGTTTTTTGTTGTTGTTACTTGACGGAAATTTAAAAAAAATCGCTTTCCTTCAGAGTTGTAACAAGATTATCTGGCGCATGACCATTAAGTGTTCATTTTTGTTTCTTCTCTCATAAGAAGATACAAGTTTCAGGAATTAGAATCCCGTTTTCAAACAATGCGTACACTGAAAGACAAAGGTAAGTCAAGTGTTCATTACAATTACGAACAATAGTTCCGTACCTCAAAGAAAAATCATTTAATGTTTGTTATTCAGCCAGCTTGGAAAGCTGATTTGGAAAGTTAGATTTTCAAACCCCGAAAAACATTTCAAATCATTTAAAACAAAACACTTAATTGGTTGGTATGATACCAGTAGTAAATTGTCCGCACTTTATCTTCTTTTTTTTGTCTACCAGTTGTTTATAAAGATATTGCGTAACTAACGACTTTCTTTCTAGAAGATTACTGAACCGTAAAACATTATGTGGTTAACCTTCACCTCCTGAATATCTTTAAGAATCCAGTTCAGTCTAGTTTTTAAGCAGTTTTTTTTTTTGTAGTAGTCATTTCTTGCTGCTTGTGTTTATTGCACCAATAATTACTTTAGTGGGTAACAAGTAATGATTTAAATATGCAATTATGACATAAAAAAAACTCGATCTAATGTGACGCAAACGTTAACCCTACAATTACCATTGGAACCCGTTTCTTAATTTTGTTATCCGCTGAATTTCTTGTTGTTATCAGGGATTCTAATAACTTACAATATCGTATAAAAAATTCTTAACAACTTACCATC